GACTCCCTTCTTTCCATCCGTCGCTGGTCGACTCACGTCAGCAGAGGCCCCGTGCACAATGCCGGGGAACCTAGTGCGAGCAGGCGGTGGGGCTCTAGTTCCTGGAACCGCGTTCCTTCTACACGTGCTGACACCAGCTGTAAGTGGGTCACACACCCCTGAGCACAACCGCCTGCTCCCGCGTGAGCGTCTTCAAGAGCCACCTCCACCCAGTGCCTCGGTCCTGCCTGAGAGCAGACGGGGCATGGGGCTGCGCACGCAGGGCTGCTCCTGTGCTCAGGATCCCCGTGTCATGATCAGCTGCCGTGCAGACATTCACCTACAGACATGTTCATCTCAAAACATGCTACCACATACACAGCAAGCGTGGCCCAGCTCCATTCCCCTGCAGGGTGGCAGTGGCTCTGCTCCCCATAGGATTAAACCGTAATCTCCTCTGCTCATCCTGGCCCATGTGGAGCCCAGACATGTGGCAGGCATGATAATTAATACCAAGGTGTAACAGTTCAGTGAGTAATTCCTACCCGCTATGTACCTGTACCTACACCATGGAGCACACACGCACAATATAACAGACACATGGAGTACACACATCCCAACCTGTGATGGGTGAGCATGTCTCCTGCTAGGGGCAGGAGATTACTGGAAAAGTATCAGAGATTACAGCAGACCACACAACAGCCAGCCTTTTCGTCCTGTCAGCCTTGTGGGGCTATGCTCCCAGCGTCTGACAGGAGAGTTGTGCTACAGTAAATCTGACAGCCTTAATCCCCAGAGTTTACAGCTGTGCAAAACCTCTTTTCATGGGTGAAAAGTGCAAGCAAAACAATGACCACCCCCAGCAATACTGTCTCGCACGCCCGCATCGCGCTGACAGCACAAGCATTCACTGGCCCTCCTCAAGGTTCGTGTAGCTGGGGCTCCCCGCATGGCACTGTTAGGGGTGAGGTTTCTTTTGAGCATGGCCCTCCGCGGGGTGAAGCCTCTGTGGAGACCCTCTCACTGAGCAACCTGCACTTGGCTTGGTAGCAAAGCTAGCGCTGCTAAACATGGCTCCTTGTTCTGGGATCTAAAGGCATAAAACTGCAGCGACCCTCCTCTGTCCACAGCATCCTGATGGTCCCACAGGGTGAGAAACGCAGCCGTGGTCCGTGCCTCGCATCGTCTGCTGCTAGTTAAGGCTGCAGTTGAACTAGTAGCCTCAACCTGCGAGGAGGTGAAAGATGGAGCACAGAAATAGGTTAAGCTTCCTTACCAGCTCAGAATAAACTTCAGCCTTCACGCCTCCTCTGTTCCTTGATAGTTGAGGTGGTGTGGTTTGCTCATCAGGCAGTGGCAGTTCTGGTATAATAAAGCAGGGCTCGCCGTACTTGATTTTAAAGATAGGCGCAATAACCAATGAAAATCTTCTCTGAGGTTATCAGGCCGATATGAAATAGCCACATTTGCAATAACTCACCCGCACTGGAGCAGCTGCGGAGCCGGTGCAAAGGGGTTAACAAGCAAGGACCCACCTATTTTCTGAAGGTCAAATATCACCTTAGAGCCGCGCACACACATGTACACACACAAGCTTTTTATAAGTGGCCTAAAAACACTTCCTAGCTTGGTGTGAATGTGAGAAGCACGACCGCCACCACGCTGTGGCTGTGCTCAGCTCGTCTCATCTCCGCATACGCCCACTCGCTGAAGCTGCCGGGGCCAAGAGCCGTCCCACCCAACGTGCCCGGGCCCGGTGCAAAGGACGATGACTGCGAGAGACGGTGCTGCCTTCCCGCGGTCTCCCGTGCCCTGGGAAGGTGGTGAGAACAGCGGCGTCCTGGCACACTTGGCTCACAGCACCCCGCGGTCACGCGCGGCGCTGCCCAAGCAGCCTCGAAGAGCCGGGGTGGGGGCAGAGTGGGGCAAGGCCGGAGGAGCATGGACGGGCAGTTGGTCAGCGGTCCACTTGGTCAGCGTTAGCCCCTGTGCGAAGGAGCGGCAGGAAGGCCGGGCTTGCCTCATGCTGCCGGCCCCGAGCGCCGGCCCAGCTCTGCTTCCGCAAAGCCCCTCACAGACCCGCCGTGGGCATGAAGGGGAGCAGCTGGCCCCCAGGAGATCACGCTCTCACACTTACTCCTCAGACCTGAGCCAATGCCCGGAAGGGGAGCTGTGGCCAGGGCTGTCTGAGAAAGGGCCTGCCTGCTCGGGCCGGGGGCAGCCGGGGCCCTGGGGCAGGGAGACCAGGAACGCGCCTCAGCCCCTGCCCATCGCTGCGGCCTGGACCCGACCTGCAGGGCTGGCGACGGAGCCGTGGCACACGTGGGCCGGGCCGGGCCGGGCCGGGCCGGGCCGGGACCAAGCCCTGCTTCTGTGGTGCCTGAACCAGGAGGCGTCCGAACTGCAGGCCTCTGGGCTCGGGGCTGCAGCAGGACGTCTGCCGAGTGTCTGCAGCCTCAGGCCGAAGAGTCTGGGAGCAGGAGACTTGCCGGTGGCCCCACACAGGCCCGAGCAGCCTGCCCCAGCAGGAGCTGTTGCTTTGCCAGGGCTCCTTGGAGCCCCGCACCCGTCTCCGCCAGCGCGGCCAGCCACGAGGCCTTGCCCCGGCCCTGGCCCTGGCCCCCCGGCCCTGCCTGTGGGTAGCTCCAGGGGCGTGGAGCAGCGGAGAAGGAGCGGGCCTGCACACAGCGTGTGGGCGTGTCTGGTGGAGACGCAGGGCACCGGCACCAGACACCGTGGGCTGTTGTGGGCAGAGCCCCATCATATCCCCACGGCGCTGGGACCCAGCCAAGTCCCTTGGCCCGTCCTGCCTGTGCAGAAGAGACGCGCGGCAAACCGCCTGCCCACGCCTCCAGGGACCTGCCTGCAGCCGCGGCCCAGGGCCGCCCCGCCGCGCTCTGCGGTGCCCACACAGCCGTCACATGCACACGGCAGTTCTCCTTCCCAGCCTCAGCTGAACTTCTCCCCATGCCGTCCGGCTGGCTGCAGTTTCCAGCCACACTTGGGCATTGCCCCTGGCTCCCGCTCTCCCCCCGGAGCCTGCCGGCCTCCCCCAGCAGGACAGCCCCGAGGCCCTTCCGGGGAGGTTGCCTGGGGCTCCGCCCTGGGGAGATCCCTCGCGTCACCCTGCAGGGCCCATGCTGCTCGGGGCCTCCCTGCAAGGGCCACGTCCCCAGATCCCGGGGTTCACAGGGCTGCTCCAGACTCAGTGACCCTGAACCCCTGCCAGGGCCTGACAGCCAGGCAGCGCTTCCAGCCCTGAGCACTGCTCTGGGGCACTGGGGTCGGACTCTCACTAGGCCCCGACCCCACAGCACTGGCTCTCTCTGGGGGTGCCCGCCAAGGGCTGAGCCAGCCCCGAGCAGCAGCTGACCCAGCTGGGCACCGGGTCCCGGTCACATCCAGTAGCATGCTGGATCCAGGCAGCCGTGCCAGGGAGGAGAAGGGAAGGGGGCACGTCAAGTCTACAGCCCTGGGGCTAACGGTGATGCCCAGCAGATGTGGGCACCGCACAGCTCTGCAGCACGGGTGTCCAGGGCGGGCATGGCCAGCAGGTCCCTGGCATGGGCCAGGAGCAGGCTACGCACCACACTGCAGGGCCTTGCAGTGGTGCAGACTGCCAGCCAGACCCTGGCTCTGACAAGGGGATGGAGCCGTGTGCCTGCGCCTCTGCTGCCTCCCCGAGGGCACGTGAGGCACCACAGCCTGCGGCACGGCTCAGCATGGCAGCCTGTCTGGGCAATGCCCTCCTGGCGCAGCTTCCCGCGGGCAAGGGAGGAGGCAGAGGAGAGGAGGAGGGGGATCCAGAAAGGCTGCAGCTGGGCAGCCATGAGCTGTGCCCAAGAAGACATGGGGACTGGGGGCTGCCGACATGGCCAACAATAAGCTGCCACAGAGTCTGGTCGCTGCAGCAGTCAGCAAGACCCTGCGCCAGGGCCGAGGGCAGCCACCCGGCTGTTCCCTGCTCCATGTCAGGCACAAGCCAGGCTGCAGGGCCTGCGGGAAGACCCCTTCCCACTCAGGCACGAGGGATGTGGGCACACTAGAAGGGAGGAATAGGCTGCAATCGGACCTACACAGGTTACAGGGGTGGGCGGACGAGAACAGGATGGGATTCAACAAGGTGCTGCACCTGGGGAGGAAGAACCAGCAGAATACCTACAGGCTGGGGAACTCCCTTCTCATCAGGGCAGAGGCAGAAAAGGATCTTGGAGTCAT